TTAGGTCGCAAATTTAGGGAAACCGGGAAGAATTTTGGTAATTTTTGGGCAATTTCTGGTTTATCTCCTTTCGTCGAATTTGGTCGGCTGATTGATGGATGCCAGAAGCGCACACACTGCACAAGAAACACACAACTTGACTGAGCGAAATTGCACAAATAACTGAATTGAAATATCCCCCCGCCTCACACACACACAGAGAAAAGAAGAAGAGCGAGGGAGAGAGCAGGTGCGTGAAAGCGAGAAAGCATGCTTGGCTTCGCTTATTTTCGTTCAAAAATTTCTTACAAATTTGCTAAAACCCAAAAAATGAGCAGAGAAGCGCGATGCACTCGAGTGCATTTTAATTGATTTTTTCTTTATTTTTTCACCCGGCTTTCACTCACAGCAGGATAGCCTGAGTGCTCGCATCTCGCTCGGTCCCACGCGGCGTATGCGTAACATTACAGTTGCATTTCGGCGATTCGAGTGAGTTTCGTTTCCTTCTGAGTGAGTTGCGAGTGGGCGATCTCCTGTGGGTCACGGCTCCAGTTTCTCTCCTCCATAATTTTAAGTTTTAATTAGCTTTTTGTTGCTGCTGTAATTTCGACAGCAAACAAAAGTTGCTGCTGCATCAAATTTTAAATTAATTACACGTAAGAATGCTGAAAAATTGATGGCCACAACGACGTTCCATTCATTTTGGACAAACAATTAGCATTCACTGTCCCAAATATGACGCAAAAGTATAAGGCTAAATGAAAGAAAAGTTGGCGGAAGTTTTTGAAGGGATGAGGGATATTTTTTTAAGCGGCCCGTGGAGAGAGAAGTTAGACCCGGTATAGACAAAGTTTTTAATATGAAAATTGGTCGTTTTGGGTCGAGGAAATTAAGTGGCTGCTGGGTTGGCGGCTGGGGAAATGTACCCTTTTCGATTGATTTAAGTCTAGGACTTATTTAACTTTGATGGAGTTTTCTGAGAATGGCAAAATTATAATGTTTGCTGAAAAAGGTATTTTTGATTTTAGCTTTTCCGGTCCAGTTCCTTGTTGATTTATATTGCATACCTTAAGGAAATTAGCCAAAGCATAAAGAAAACAAAAGAGAACACTATAGTCGAGTGCTTCGACTGCTTAGCTAAAGGGAGTACGAGGGAGATATGCAGTCGTCAATGCTACTGGATGCATTTGGCGACCATTTCATTTTTTGCTCATAATTAGTAAATGGATTGTCCGATTTTAAAATTTCCTTCTACACTTTGATAGGTATTAAGGCTTTTTTAAAAGTCCTTTAAAGCGACTATGGGCGTAAGAGTCAAACTGAATCAAACTTGGGCTGCGTAAGAAGCCCAAGAATATGTGTGGCTATTCTATGCAGCGCAAGTTTGTTTTAGCCGAGGGCCACGCTTCCTCTAACGCCCACAGTTGCCTTAAACGATTTTAAAAAGTGTCTGGCGCCCACACCCTTAAAGATTTCGGAAAAGTAAAAATGCAGTTTTTAGTGTGTATCGATACCAATTAAAATGTGTTTTAAAATCTGTCCATTCGTTAAAAAGTTTTGCGCGATCTCTTGTTCGGTCCTAATATGGATTATTATGGGCAATTTCTTCATAGTACATTTTTACAAGAGTGGGCAAGAAATATTTTTATTTATTTGGAATATTGATTTCATCAGTCGGCGAGAAAAATGTTTCGTTGTATAATGTCTGATTGTATACCATTTGCAGGCTCAGCTTTCATTGTGCAAATTTAATATTTCTATAGGAAATATCGCTAAAAACGTAAGTCGCAGTGCTTTAATAAAAAGTGTGCTGTGTAAAAGCTATGAAAATTGAAGCTTGCAAATCATATCAAATCAAACATTCTACACTAGGACGGGTAGATCTGTATGGTGTTGAAAAAAATTTCGTATCGTATAGGGGAACGTAATCTTTAAAAGATTCTAAGCAATATTGGCAATTTACGGTCAAATTTGGTTTTTATACCCGTTACTCGTAGAGTAAAAGGGTAACAGCTAGAAGGAAGCATTTTCTGTCTGTATAACCGCTGAGATTTTGAAAAGTTAAGACGAATTGTGGGATATGACTTCGGATAACTACTTTTTTTAAGGTATAGAGAGACATATTCAATATTTATGTATCGGTAGAAGATTGGAAGGATCTTTAGGCAGGAAGGCTCAAAATGGAATATTTTAGTTTTTATTTAAAAAAAAATCTCGGCTAAGATCATGGGAACCGAAAAAATTCAACTCGGTCGTAAAATTATCAAACTATCGAAAAAAGGCAAAAAATAGACTATATTTCGAAAAATTAAAAAGAGTATCAAGGACGCGTTGTATTTTTTTTCGTACACATGATACATTGTTCTTTCGATCTGCATTCAAATGTTTCGCTTTTTATAAAACAAAAACAAGAGAGAACGCTATAGTCGGGTGCCCCGACTATCAGATACCCGTTACTCAGCTAAAGGGAGTGCGAAAGAGATGGAGAAAAACTTTGATCCGCCGTAACTTTTTAACGAATGGTCCGATTTAAAAAATTTCTTCTACATTTCGATAGGTATTGATAAACACAATAAAACTGCATTTTTACTTTTCCAAAATATTGAAATTTTTAAAATCGTATATATGCGATTGTGGGCGTTAGAGGGGGCGTGGCACCCTTTTGAAACAAACTTGCGCTGCGTAGGAACTCCTAGAATCTGCATGCAAAATGTCAATCTTCTAGCTTTTATAGTTTCCGAGATCTCAGCGTTCATACGGACAGACGGACAGACAGACAGACAGACAGACAGACAGACAGACAGACAGACAGACGGACAGACGGACAGACGGACATGGCTAGATCGACTCGGCTAGTGATCCTGATCAAGAATATATATACTTTATGGGGTCGGAAACGCTTCCTTCTACCTGTTACATACTTTTGCACGAATACAATATACCCTTTTACTCTACGAGTAACGGGTATAATTAGCAGGTGGCTTTATTGATTTTATATAATTTTAAACAAAATATTATTTTTGTGTTTCTATCAAAGTTATTAGCCAAGCTGCTAATCGAGTTCTGCTTGCTGTATAGAAACTAAGTTAGTTTTGTAGAGAACTATTGTAGAAACTGTTTGAACCTATAATACTGGCAATAGCTCTACAACTCTCTTAGTGGAAGTTTTTTAAAGTCAAAATTTGATTGTGGACTTGTTTTGTAGTATTAATTTCATAGTACATTATTTAATTTTGAAGTTTAAATTCTATACCGAAAGTTTCATATATTTTTAACCCCACTAGTTTAGAATTCGTTAATGAATAATTTTGTTTCAATTATCTTTTTTTTAGGGTACATATAAACAAACGGAATGTCAAATTATTTGTTTATTACTTACATACTTAAAAATAGCAAAGATGGCATTGATAGCTTATCAAATCAAAGCCAAACTGGCAAGTCGATTTGAGCTTTTAATTCACTCGGACTTAACCAACTCAGGCCAGCCGGAAACAGGGTGTTCTGAAATCCGTTCACATCCAGGCTTGAGCATGCGCAAACGCAACTCACTCAACTGGAGAGCAACAAGAGTGCAACACCTACGCGACTCGTAAACACACCTGGACAACCTAAAGTAATGCGGCAAACAGAGAAGGAGAGCCTAGAAAAGGGGTACAAGAGAGAGGAAGGGAGCAAGCGGGCGGAAAACAAACGTCAGCTGCATGAGAACCCAAAGGCGGGACGATTCCAATTGTGACGTTTGCCATTGTTGGCCAGTGTAATGACACACACCTACACGAATGAGTATGAGTTCAGCGCGGGGAAGGCTTTAAATATTTATGAATGAAATGTTGTATACTTTTCGGGCACAAATGCAGGAACTAGTAAAGAGAAAAAAAATTCAATTAAGCTTTTTCCTAAATTACACTAGTTTACAGCAAAGAAAATCACTAAGACCAATTTTTTACGTCTAAATTTGGGTCTCTGATCACGCTGATTACTGGATGTAAGTAGTTTCTTCTCTTAATTATAATGAGCAAAAATGTTAAAATAATAAAGTACTTGCATCCAGCAATAGTCCCTTCCTTCATCCCACAAACCTTTGCAACACTTTTAAAGTGATCAAGAAGTTCTCCCAAGTTTAATCAAAAGAGATTAAAATAACTGTTAGGAAGATAGCAGAGAGGTAGAATAAGAAGTTGGGCTTTATTTCTTAATCTGGTCCTTAAACGATTTATCATTTTTACTAGTAAAATCCCTTCCTTTTTCTGTTGGTTCTTCAGGTTTTCTCAGTTGACACCTGCAATCACTGTTAGAGATTCAGATAATAGTGCCAAAAATCCAAAAGCTATTATCGGCTTTGCTATGTGGAATACTTTCACCATCGATCCATGACCAAGGGTAAAGTCTGTGTCAAAAACGTCCCTCACAATGAACTCCCGGCCAATGGCCAAGCTAATCGCAGTGGAAAATCCAAAATCCAATACGGTTCTAATTGTATTAGAATTATAATGGTTGACCTCATCCGAAGGGCGTTGATGAGCAATGACCACGGTCCAGGCCGGCAATGAACCTCAAAGAAGTGGAAAGAACCGTCCAGAGCTGACAACGCACATGACTAAGCGCACCATCAACCAATTTTAAGGTTAATGACTGTGTTTACGCAAAATAAATGTGAACCCCTGCCGAAAAAAGCGGCTAACTAATTTAAATTGATAGCAAAACGGCTATCAGAGCAAGTGGAATGAGTAATCGGGCGATGGCCAAATAAGGGCCTAAATAGTTTTGTTTTGATTTGTTCCATTTTAGTTAACGCGTACTAAGTAGTTTGAAATGCGTTTATAGGGGGATTTCAAAATATTGCGTATACGCCGCCTGGGTCATGCACGAACGAGCAAACCGAGCAGCCGCTGATGGGCGGCCGATTAAGCTCCATTAAAAAAGCGTTTTATGCTTTAAAAATTGCAAGCATTCGGCGGCGAACTCTATAAAAACAGTTAATGCCGGACTTTTTGCATTCAGTCAACGTTCGAGGATTACACACCGCAAACACGGCCAGCAAAATCATGTCAGCAAAACAAACGAGCAGTTGCCTATGGTTGGGTTTGGTCCTGGTCGCGATGCTCTTGCCGCTTTCCGAGGGCCAATACTACGGATATCCCTACGGATACGGAGGGGCTAATGCGGGAGCGGGATCGGCGTACGGGAACATTTACGGCAGCGGCATGTACGGATATCCCTACAGCTACGGCGGATACCCATACTACTCGTACCCCAGCTACAATCCTTACTCGATGTACGGTGGAGGAGGAGTTGGCGGATATGGACAGTACGGGTATCCCTATGGAGGATATCCCTACGGCGGCAACGGCATGAGTGAGTAATCCTTCTCCGCGTTCCTTAGTCATTGCACCCAAGTAATCTACAAGTGTTCTGGACATGTTTTTTTCTCTAGACGTGGCCTACGCCAGCAGCAGTGGAGGATTCGCCACAGCCAGTGCGGGCGGAAACGGATACTACGGCTAAGAGATCAGTGATATTCCTAAGCTAGTTTTAATGTACATACTGGTTAAGTCTTCCTTCTATTGTAGTATGTAAATGCGAATAAATATAATAGCTATTTAATATTTTATATAATTAAAAAGTATTTATTATTTTAAACTTTTGTCAAGGCCAAGTGATCTAATAGTTGCGGGAATTTATAGTAGGGTCTGGCAAGATAAAAAATTTTTTTTCTTGTAGACTAACATCTTAATTGGACAACAACTTTAGTATAAGTATTAGTCAAATTTACCTACAAAAAAAATAACACAAAAAATTACCTCGATCGATGCTATATTTTTGAATTCGTTACGAATTCCCAAATTAATCTGCGTTTTCTAAAAAGATCCCCGACGCAAGGATTCTTAGCATCAAAGTTCGAAAAATGCTGAAATTGGCCAACTTTCCGGATGTATCACACGCAAACGGATTCATGGTTTATTTTGATTTTAAAGTTTTTTAAAAGATACACTCTTTATCTTTCAAACCCTACACATAGAATAATTTTACGATTTTGTTAAAGGGAGAAACAAATTCTAGAAAAGGTAGTCAAAAAACATAAAAACAGCTGCGGTCAAAACAGTAGTAGTGTTGCCGCCCTGTGTTTTTTAAAGTTTCTTGTTGTAATTTATTTTTTTCTGGTAATATTGTATTGATTACACAGGAACACAAAATTAAACTTTGTGAAATTTCCACGAAACATTTCAAGTTTTCCATGATATTTGGGTGCTCCTGAGTAAAAGTCCCATACAAAATTATTTTCCATCACCTACAGGTTCCGCGGTATAGCTAAGAATACAAAAAACCGATGTTTGCCGACATTTTGAATTACATTGCCTATATAATTGGACTAACCTTTATTATTTTTGGTAGAACCTATTCTCAATACATCACGGCATTCCTAAAAAATAGTCCCTATTGTGAACCATTGCCCATGTCTTTGAAATTCGACGCCAAAGTTGAAAATCCCAAAATTGTAGAGATTTTTCTGATGGAAAAACAATTGTGAGAATTAAATCTTGAATAAAAGTAATTTTAACTATTCATTGTATCTATAGTTCATTGTATGCTTTAATTTAGGTTTAAAGCGTTTTCATGAGGACATTTTATTGGATTTCTTATACTAATAAAACCGATTTTTTATACCCGTTACTCGTAGAGTAAAAGGGTATACTAGATTCGTGCAAAAGTATGTAACAGGCAGAAGGAAGCGTTTCCGACCCTATAAACTATATATATTCTTGATCAGGATCACTAGCCGAGTCGATCTAGCCATGTCCGTCTGTCCGTCTGTCCGTCTGTCTGTCTGTCCGTCTGTCCGTATGAACGCTGAGATCTCGGAAACTATAAAAGCTAGAAGATTGACACTTTGCATGCAGATTCTAGGAGTTCCTACGCAGCGCAAGTTTGTTTCAAAAGAGTGCCACGCCCCCTCTAACGCCCACAATCCCTTATATACGATTTTAAAAATTTCAATATTTCGGAAAAGTAAAAATGCAGTTTTATGGTGTTTATCAATACCTATCGAAATGTAGAAGAAATTTTTCAAATCGGTCCATTCGTTAAAAAGTTATGCGTGATCAACGTTTTCTATCTCTATCTCCATCTCCCTCGCACTCCCTTTACCTGAGTAACGGGTATCTGATAGTCGGGGCACCCGACTATAACGTTCTCTCTTGTTTTATTTTATTATCTACTCCTAAATGTTGTCAAATTTTGAATAAGTGGATAAACTTCCGTTTAGTCCTAACCCCAATTTTTTTCAAACTTTCCATATTGACGTGTTTTTGGGTCCTGATTACGGGAAAAATAGCCAAAGTTGGCGCAAATAACGGGATCTTGAAAAATAACGGTAAAAATCGTAATATTTTCGGTTTTTTGCAGTTTTTTTGGAAAATATGAGGAAAATTAAAAAATGTTTTAGACAAAAACAGAAGATATTTATAAAACGGATCTTTTGTGTATTAATCATTTTCTTCGTAAACATAAAGCTTTTCGAGGAAAAACTAAAAGAAGTATTTTAAATTGGGTGTGAACATTTTAAAATACTGCAATATCCCGCCATAAAAATGGCGACAGATAGTTTTCGATTAGTCGATAACAGCCTTTTACCTTCTACTCTAGTGATGGACCTATTTTGTTTTTTTATACGATGTATCGTGTTCATGTTCCTCGAAAAAAGGAAATGGGACGGATGACCTGAATGATAGCTGGATAAGCTTTTAAAGAAAGTAGTAAGGTACGGGCGAGGAAAGCGCCGAAGGCAAACATTTTTATGTGTATTTTTTGTTAATACATTTTATTTCCGTTGTATAATTTGTATATTATTTTGTTTTCTAAATGTTATATTTAACTACGAGAACAGAAATGCTCTTCCTAAAAAATGTAATGCCATTCTCGTGCTTAGGTAGTATCTTCGCTAATACATCGAGAAACATCGATATACATTTTGACACACCGATATAACATGAATGTATAAAACATAAAATACTCATTTATTTAATAGCTTTACAGCTTTATTATATTCGAAGATATTTAAGAAAAACAGTTTTTACCGTTATTTTCCATGATCCCATTATTTGCGCCAACTTTGACTATTTTTCCAATAATCAGGACCCCAAATAACGTCGATTTTGAAAGTTTGGACGAAATCGGGGGTTGGAGCTAAACGGAAGTTTACCCAACAATAGATTCAATGAATAGTTAAAATTACTTCCATTCAAGATTTAATCCTCAGAATTGTTTTTCCATCAGAAAAATCTCTACAATTTTGGGATTTTCAACTTTGGCGTCGAATTCCAAAGACATGGGCAATGGTTCACAATGGGGACTATTTTTTAGGAATGCCGTGATGTATTGAGAGTAGGTCCTACCGAAAATAATAAAGGTTAGTCCAATTATATAGGCCACGTAATTCAAAATGTCGGCAAAGATCGGTTTTTTGTATTCTTAGCTATACCGCGGAACCTGTAGGTGATGGAAAATAATTTTGTATGGGACTTTTACTCAGGAGCACCCAAATATCATGGAAAACTTGAAATGGTTCGTGGAAATTTTTGGCTGTGTACCTGTGTTATAATTGTACTACTAGACTAATTGGATTAGCAAAGTTAGTTGATTTGTTGATGCCAAAGACTCTACCCCCTAAGCCCTGTTCCTCACATTTAACTTATGGAAAAAATACATTTTTTGGAATTAAAGTAGAAACAGAAAAGGAAAATAATGTTTAATTAAAAGAGGCTAGGTCTTCTAACTAATCGGCATTTATTTTGTCATGTTAATTGTGTAATTGTAATAATACAAAAGTCTGTAGTTTCTCAAAACTGCCTAATCTATTGTCTTCCTATTTATGTAAATATGTTGTTATAAACATCCCACATAAAAGATGAAAAATGCTAACGGTTGTCATTTATTTAATGACTGACTGCTGTACCAAACTAACGCTATTAAAAAGGTGTAAATTTGAATGCAGTACAATGTTCGCGCGCAATCGATATCTTTGGTTAGTGTTGTAAAGTTCACAGTAGTCAGCGGCCACTAGTCTTTGCTATTTATTTCCGAACCACGTTCGAGTCTCGACTGATGTTTGAAATCAGACGTTTGAAAAATATGTTGTTCTGCTGAACGCGCCCAATAGTTAATAAAAACCATAAATTCGGTGAAATTCATTATAAAGCCTAGTACTCAGTACGACGAAAACTGCTAGCTAAGCATAGGAGTAAGCGAGAGGCAAATAGGTAGCTAAAGCCTTTAGCTGGGGCTTTTTTCCACCGCGGTACTCAGTTGAGCTAAGGAAATAGTAAGGAAATATCACAAAAATACTAGATTTAGCGGATGAACTCCGATGAACGCCTTTAAGCCTAGTACTCAGTTCGGCTAAGAGTTTTACTAGTCGAAAAATATTAATCTTCTGGTGTGACCGAAGTTTTCGGAGTTCATCCGCAATGCATGGAACATGGTCTTACTCTCAGCAAACCAATTAGCTGGCGCCAATTTTAAAATATTACAAAACGTTGAGCCGACCTGGGTCGCAAGCTTTAAATTCGCTGTTGGAATGGCGATATGTATTGCAGCAACTCCTACAGGCAGTTTTTCATTGGTTTTTGTGGCTTTCCTTCCATTTATACATTGTTATTGGCAAACCGCTTCTGCACAAACACAGCCAAAGATCAAATTTTTTATTCTTTGGGCCGCGGCTAAAGGCGTTCATCAGAATTCATCCGCTAAATCTAGTATTTTAGTGGTATTTTCTTACTATTTCCTTAGCTCAACTGAGTACCGAGGTGGGAAAAAGTCCCCGGCTAAGGGCTTTAGCTACCTATTTGCCTCTCGCTTACTCCTATGCTTAGCTAGCAGTTTTCGTCGTACTGAGTACTAGGCTTTAGCCGCGGCCCAAAGAATAAAGCCAAGTACTCAGTTCGGCTAAGAGTTTTACTAGTCGAAAAATATTAATATTTTAGGGTGACCGAAGTTTTCGGAGTTCATCCGCAATGCATGTAGAATGGTCTTACTCTTAGCAAGCAAATTAACTGGCGCCAATTTCGAAATATTACAAAATGATTAGCCGACCTAGGTCGCAAGCTTTAATTTTGCTGTTGGAATGAGGATATGTATTGCTACAACTCCTACAGGCAGTTTTCCATTGGTTTTTGGGGTTTTCATTCTATTTATAATATGTTATTGGCATACCGCTTCTGCACAAACACAGCCAATGATCAAATTTTTTATTCTTTGAGCCTAGTACTCAGTACGACGAAAACTGCTAGCTAAGCATAGGAGTAAGCGAGAGGCAAATAGGTAGCTAAAGCCCTTAGCCGGGGACTTTTTCCCACCTCGGTACTCAGTCGAGCTAAGGAAATAGTAAGAAAATACCACTAAAATACTAGATTTAGCGGATGAATTCTGATGAACGCCTTTAGCCGCGGCCCAAAGAATAAAAAATTTGATCTTTGGCTGTGTTTGTGCAGAAGCGGTGTGCCAATAAC